CGCCGAGCCCGCTGCCGCCGAGGCGCCGCGCCGCGCGCCGACGACGCCGACGCGAGGCGAGTCCATGGACTTGGAGGCGCCGGCGCCGGCGCCGCGCGGCGTGCTTCCCCGGCTGAAGCGCGTCTTATCGCCGGTGGTGGGCGCGGTCCGCGGCGTGACCAAGGTCGTGTCGAAGGTGCTTTCGCCGCCGCGGAAGCAGCAGCGACCCGACGCGGACGACGAGCCCGCCCGCGCCGCGCTGGACTTCGACGCCGCCGCCGCGGCGCTCGCCGCGCCGCCGCCGCTCGCCGCGGGCACGTTCCGCGTGCCCCTGCGGATCGGCCAGGGCATGACGCCCGGCATCACCGTCAGCTTCCCGGTCGACGGGGTCTTGTACGGCACCGTCATCCCCGCGGACGCCGTCGAGGGCGAGATCGTCATGATCCCGTCCTCCGCGCTCACGCGCCTCCCGGACCCGGCGGCCGCCTAGCTTCGTAAGTTCATAAAGCCCGCCTACTATGCAGTCGTCGGCGATGGTCATACCAGGTACCAGGCGTGAAGGAGGCCGAGGGGGTTGACCGCCGGTATGCCTGGTAGTATGCGCCGGCTATGCGGGCTTTATGCGGGTGGTATGCGGGCTTTATGCGGGTGGTATGCGGGCGGTATGCGGGTGGTATGCGCCTGCTATGCGGGTGGTATGCGGGTGGTATGCGGGTGGTATGTGAGTGGTATGCGGGTGGTATGCGGGTGGTATGCGGGTGGTATGCGGGTGGTATGCGGGTGGTATGCGGGTGGTATGTGCCTGCTATGCCGGTGGTATGCGCCTGCTATCCTGGTGGTATGCGTGACCGGGTCCGGCACGGCCCGCGTCGGGCGGCGGTTGCTCCGCGCTCACGACACGTCCATGCCCTGCTGATGGCGGCTCCCGCCGCGCATAAATTATAATACTTTAGGCTGCTGCGCGCTCCTACCATGGATGGCGGAGCCCTCAGATTAATTAAAATAAACACAATATAAGGGCCTCAATAAATAGACACGCGTGTGTAGTTTTTGCGTAGCGCCGAATAAAAAGTGCAAGTTCCTCGCATACCAATGCCATGGCAATGGCCTGAGTGCGGCGGCGGCGCCGCCGCGGGCGCGGCCCGCCAGCACGCGGGGCGCGCGCGGCTCCGGCTCCCGGCGCGCGCGCTGGACCTCCTCGGGCACGTCTTCGCGTAGGCGCGGGCCTTGATGGCTCGTGGCCGGCGAGGAGCTCGCCGCCCGCGCCAGGACTTGAGCTCGTCGGACGACGATGTGCCGGCGCCCCGGCGCCCGCGCCGCGCTGCTTTACCGTCGTCGAGCTCCTCCGACGACGATATGTCAGGGGCGGAGCCCAACCTGAAGAAGATGTGCGACGCGCTCGCCATCTCCGCGGACGGCGGCGATATGACGAAGATGCGCCGCAAGCGCGCGCGCGACGGCGGCCGCGTGCTCGCAGAGCGGGCCGAGCTCCATGGGCGCGTCGCCGTCGACGACCACGGCCGTCACCTTGAGGTCGACGTCGACGGCCACGGCCGTCACCTTGAGCGCCATGTCGCCGAGGGTGCCCTCAGGCTCCTGCTCCACGTCCACCGTGAAGGGCGCGGCGAGCGCGGCGGGCAGACTCGGCTGCACGGGCGTCGGCTTGCGCTTCTTCGCCGTCGGCATCGCGAAGTCGAAGGCGCCCGGCTCACGCCCCGGCGGCGTCACGCGGCCGCCCGTCGCCGGCGGCGCCTCGCCTCCTCCCTCTGGCATTGTGGCGGCCCCAGCCTCCAGCATCGCCAGCTCCGCTTGCATCGCGCGCATGCGGGCGGCCTTCTGGTCGGCGTGTTGCGCCCGCGCGGCCGCGAGCTTGCGCGCCAACTCGGCCTCGTCGGCGTCTGGGACGTCGGCCATGACAGTTGTCTAATGAACACTCGGTGTTTCAAGACTGTACCCCGGTTAAGGCTCACTAAGTTGAAGATATAAAGTGCCCATATCTAAATGATATGGGCACACTCGGGCTGCGGCGGCAGCGACTCGCCGACTCGCCGCTGTCCCACAATACCCCACGGCCCTGGGCCGCTTCGCCGCGCCCCGGGCCGCCCGCGCCGCCGCGAAGCCGCCGATCAAGGTCGGAGTCACGATCGATGGCGCTGCGGGCTGCGACTGGCCCGCGTCCGACCCACAACAGGGCGGCGCGGGCTGTCGGACTTCAAAATCCGCGCGACTTCACAACCCGTGCGCTCGTCCAATCGCTGGCGTTCGACAGTGTAGCAGCCTCCGCGCTTAGCGGTGCGTCTCGCTCCTCGAGAACACCACAGAGACTCGGACGAGCGCGCACGGTTTGAACTCGCGCCGCGCTTCGAAACGCGCGCGACCGCGCGATGCCCGCCGTCGACCGCGTCCGCCCCCACGGGTTCCTCGCGAAAAAGAACCACCGACGGACCACAGCCCCGTTCGCGGCGAGCACCGGTCCGTCGGTGCACCTGCAGTAGCTGATACCCAGGGGCTGCGACTTCAAAATCACGACGGTCCGCGCGAACCGCGCGAGGGCGCGCGACTTCAATCGGCGTGCGCTCGTCCGAGTCTCTCTCGTCCTGCGTGGCGTGCTCCTCCGCCGACTTCGGTTCGTGATCCGAGCGAGCCGCCCGCGGTCGACGGACTCGAACGTCCGCGCGCGGTTTGAACTCGCGCCGCGCTTCGACCCGCGCGACCGCGCGAACCACGCGAGGGCGCCGACTCGTCGGGCGCCGACTCGTCGGGCGCCGACTCGTCGGTCCAGGTAGCTAGGCGGCCCGGGGTCGCGCGCGCGGGGATCCCGGTTCTGTGTGGCTCGCAGGGGCTCCGCGAGCGTCGGTAACCTCCGGCGGTCGTCGCCTGGGTTGTCGTCGACGGCGGTCGCCGGGCTGCTATGCTGGTCTTATGCGCCTGCTATGCTGGTGGTATGCGGCTGCTATGCGTCTGCTATGCGCCTGCTATGCGTCTGCTATGCGCCTGCTATGCGCCTGCTATGCGCCTGCTATGCGCCTGCTATGCGCCTGCTATGCGGGTGGTATGCGGCAGCTATGCGTCCGCTATGCGTCCGCTATGCGTCCGCTATGCGGCTGCTATGCGGCTGCTATGCCGGTGTATGCCCGGCTGGTGTATGCCTGGTGGTCGGCCCCCTCTGGAAGGAGGACTGGACCCCCGGGCAAATCGTGGGCGCAGCGGGGAGGACCCCCGGCCAGTCCGATCTTGCGAGCTTCGCCTCACTTCATCCTACGCCGACGACGATGCGCAGTGCGTCGCCGCGTCTTCCACGGCCCGCGACGACCGCTGTATCCGACGCGTACGCCCCCTCGCAGCTTCCATCCTCGCCCTCATGCTCGGCAGCGCCGCGGCCCTCGTGCCGACGCTCCCCATGACGTCCCGCCGCGCGGTGAGTTGAGCTTGGCTCCGTTCTCCGCGATCCCGCGCTCACGCTCTCCGGCATAGGCGAAGACGGAGCTGAACATGGTGTTCGGTAAGACGCGCGCGTCGCAGAAGTCGTACGTGCCGGCCGTCGGCCAGGATCAGCTCAAGCCCGGTGAAGCGCCGCGTCCGATCGATCCGCCGCGATCCGATCGCGGGAGCACTGGCCCCCCCGCGCCGCGCCCCCCGCGCTCACGCCGCCCCTTTCTAGGCTCCGCCGTGTCCTCGATCTGCGCGGGCCTCGACATCTGCATCGCCGTCGACACGGACGGGTCCGTGTACGCTTTGGGAAACAAGTCGCCGGTTCTCGGCACGCCCATGGCCGCGGGCAGCGTCGCCAACGGCCTCATCCGCGACCCCCTCACGGGCTCGTCCTTCGACGTCAAGACCGGCGAGCTCGTCGGCCCCTGGTGCCCCAACTTCCCCTTCAGCATCCTCTTCAGCATCATCGAGCCGACGACGCTCCCCGTCTTCAAATGCAAGACCGGCGGCGGCGCCGTCTCCGTCGAGGTCGACGTCAACGCGAAGACCAACTTCGAGTCGGGCTACTGGAAGGGCATCCTCGACGCCCAGGGCAAGACCGACGGCGGCTACTACTGAGCGCGATGCGACGGCGAAGGCGCGCGCCCGTGGCGCCGGCGTCCACGGCCGCGCGGACCCACACCACCAGGTGGCTCGCGTAAGCACCTCCCTCTAGACAGGCGCGTCGTGGGGACGCGTCTCATGCGTCGCGGGTACGTACGCGCACGGCGCGCCCGACGGAGGCGTCCGAGGCCGCGCCGCGGCTCGAGACCGTGTGCAAATGCCAACGACGCCGGGCGCGTCCGCAAACCCCGGACGAAAGATTGTCGGAGAGGCAAATCGATATCATCGGAGCTATGGCCCTCAAGATCGCACTGCTCTTCGGCAGCGCCGCGGCGCTCAAGGTCTCCACGGGCCCGCCGGCGCGTGAGATGGCGCCGACGCTCGTGCGCAGCCGCGCCGAAAAAAATCGACCGAATTCGTCGCGGAAGCGCTGCGCGCGCCCCTCGAACGCGCCACCCCCTCGCAGCCCAAGGCGATGGAGATGGCGGGCATCGGCCTGGAGACGGGCGGCCAGATCTGGGACCCCGCGGGTTTCGCGACGTTCAGCGACGAGTCGCTCACGTGGTGCGGCGCCGCGTCTCGCGCCATCGCGCGCGCCGCCCCGCCGGCTCCGTTTTCCCGCGCGACGTCGACGCGTGCCCGCCCCTAGGTTCCGGGCCTGCGAGCTCAAGCACGGCCGCGTGGCCATGCTCGCCTCCGCGGGCTGGATGGCCAACGGCCTGCACCTGGCCTGGCCGGGGACCATCGACTACACGACGCCGTTCTCGGACCTCGCCGCGCTGCCTCCGTTCGAGGCCTGGGAGAAGGTGCCCCTCGGCGGCAAGCTCCAGATCCTCGCCTGGGCCTTCTGCGTCGAGCTCTACAGCGAGATGCAGAAGCCCCACTACCTCAAGGGCGGCGACTTCGTGACCTACGACTGGGCGAAGCAGGCCGAGGGCAAGTCGCCCGCGGAGCTCCTTCGCAAGCAGAACGCGGAGCTCAAGAACGGCCGCCTCGCCATGATCGGCATCCTGGGCTTCTTCGCCTCGGCGAACATCCCCGGCGCCGTGCCCATGGTCCCCCACTAGGCCGGCGGCGCGGCAAAAAGGCCGGGGACGCGCGGGCGGCGTAACCTCGGTCGCGAGAGCACGTGTCGAATGGACCGGGGCATGTGGCGTGTCGCGAGCGCGAGGAAACCCAGCGCTCGACCATCGCTTGTTCGCCCGGATGGGCCCGAGGACCTCTGCGAGGACGACGTGCTATAATTAAGTGACGTGTTGCCATGGGGGAGTCGCCCGGCGGAATTCACCACGAGTACGGCCGAAATAAAAGCCCGCCGCCGGGCCTCACCCTAATTCACCCGGACGGCCCCGAGGAGTTCCGCGAGGGCGAGGCCGCACGCGACGCCGACGCCGGCGCTCACGCGCGGGTCCTCGAGGCGCGTCGCCGCGGCGCGCGCGGCGCGCCGGACGCCGGCCGCGACGGAGGCCGGCGTCGCCTCCGCGGCGCGCGCCCGACACCGCGCCCACGCGTCCCCGGCGCGGGACGAGCACCGCGCGGCCGCGGCCGCGGCCGCGGCGCGGCATCGCGTCCCGGCGCGGCGCGCGGCCGCGAGGGCCGCCGCCGCCCGCGCGCGGAGCACGGCGAGCCTCGGCGGCGGCGGCGCGGGCGCGGCCGCGGCGGCCTTGGCCTCGGCCTCGGCGGCCGCGGCGGCGACGCGCTCCGCGCGCGCGGCCGCCGCCGCGAGGTCGGCCACGGCGGCGCTCATGGCGTCCATGCGCTCCCGCTCCGTGCGCGTGCGCAGCACGGACGACCCGAGGAAGATGACGGAGTTGACGCCGATGAGCGCCCACGTCGAGTAGAGCGACAGCGCGCGGTACTTCTCCTGCCAGAGGAGCTCGCCGTGGTAGCGCCGCTGCACGGCCTTGATGAAGTCGCGCTGGGCGGCGTCGGCGCCGAGCTCCGCGCTCGTCCGCGCCGCGAGGCTCTCCTCGAGGCCGCCGCGCATGCCGTGCTCCGTCGACGTCAGCGCGGTGAAGCGCGCGACGTCGGCCGCGTCCCACGTGTCGCGGCGCTGGAGGAGCACGGCGAGCTCGGACTGCGTCGACGCGCGGCCCTGGACCGCGGCGTCGTGGGCCGCCAGGGCTTCGGACCGCCGCTGGACGGCGGCCTCGTGGGCCGCCTCGGCGGCGGCGACGTCGTCCTTCAATTGCGTGAGCTCGTGGAGGCCCGTGGTCGACGACACGCGGTCGATGACGCGGTCCACGAGCGGCGGCCACCGCCGCGGCGCGTCGCTCGCGTGCCGCGCGGCCGAGAGGCGGAGCAGCGCCGCGGATCGCGAGGCGACGGCGCGCAGGGCCATCGATCTTCCGTCGGATGATGACAGGGGCAGCCTCCGAACTTGGGCTTCAACACGGGCTTCGTGGTTGCAGGTGCTTGATCATGACGACCTGTCGCACGCTGCGGCGAGACCCGCGGCAACTTGGCAACCGGTTTGTTAGCTCCGGTGCTTATTCCGCTCCAAGACGCGCGAGGCTGGCTTTGAATTAATAGGCGCGCGGCGCGACGACCGCGCGCGGCGCGCGACGACGCGTGGGGGTCGCTGCTCGGCGGCCGGTGGCGCTCTCAGAAGGTGCCCTTGGGCCGGCCCGACAGGCCGACGAGGTTGCTAAAGTGGCGCTTCGTCGGCGTCCTCGGGCTCTTGAAGCGCGGGCTCCGCGCGGCGCGCGGGCTCCGGGGGCTGGTGTGGTGCCGCGGCGACGCCCGCGGGCTCCAGCTGCCCCGCGACTGGGTCCCCCAGTTGCGCGGGCTGAACTGGTTGTTCGCGCGCGCCGCGTCGCGGAGCAGCATGCGGCCCATGAGCGTGTCCATGACCTCGGCGGCGTCGTCGCGGATCTCGTTCTTGCCCTTGCCCTCGTAGCGTTGGTTGGCGCGCGTCGCGGCGAGGAGGATGCGGAGGGAGACGGCGTCGGGGGCCATGGTGTGTTTGTTGTGTTGCGAGTCGGCGTGCGCCTTTGCTTTGCGTTTTGGTCTGCGCCAGGCATGGCCGGAAGCAGCCCCTCGAGCCCCGAAATCCTGGAAGACAAACTGAACCATTTACCTCAACAGCCGTTCATTGACGTGCACGACGATGATGTTGGGCGGACTGTTGGGCAGCAGCCTCGGCGCCATCCTCTGGTGGCTCGCAATTTGCACGTCCGGCGTCGACCCGAGCCAGCCGCTGCCGTCGCAGCTGCGGAAGATGGCGCGCAACAAGAACCACTGCGGCGCGCCCGCGAGCGACTGCGCCTTCCTGGGCCCGCCGGCGAAGTACACGGGCCGCTACGCCGTCTTCATGGCCGGCCGCGTGCGCGTCGCCCACCTCGCGCTCCAGAAGGCCAAGGCGCTCATCGCGCGGCGCTACGCCGGAAAGATCCGCGTCGACTGGTACGCGCACGTCTGGTACAACGAGTCGTCGCTCTGCGAGCGCCGCGCGCTCGAGGAGCTCACGGCCATCGCGACGGCGATCACGACGGAGCCCGTGGCCTGCATGTGGAGCTGGGGCGAGACGGGCTTCGTCAACCAGTGGCACGGCGTCGACGGCGCCTTCCAGACGCTCCTGCGCTTCGGAAAGCTCGACGACTACACGCTGGTCCTCAAGACGCGCGTCGACGTCGCCTACGACGACCTCGACTTCGAGGCGCTCTGGGCCCGCTACGGCGCCTCGGCGTCGGCGAACGCGAGCGGCGGCCACTTCATGGTGCTCGGCGCGTCGTCGGGCTGGGACGTGCACATGGTCGGCACGCCGCCGCCCGCGTGGAAATCAAATCTTCAACTCGACTTCAATATGAGCGTATTCGAATGTTTTGACACGAGCACATCCGCCGTGCTTCGCGAACTCGATGAGAGCCATCGATCCGTCCAAAAATCAGCCGAATCGACTTCGATGTGACCGAGCTAGAGCATTTCAAAGTTTGGTCGGGACGTCCCAAACCGGTGGTTGTTTCCCACACAGGCCGCCGCTCGCGCGCGCGATGGCGGGCTACGGCCTCCGCAGCGGCTACGCCTGCGACTCGTCCATGGACTCCTTCCCCTGGCAGCGCATGCGCCGCTACGGCTGCTGGCCGCCCGTCGCGGACGCGGCCCAGGACCCCGTGCTCCGGGGCCGCAGGGCAGCAAAAGAGAGCGAAATTCCCAACTTCAAAGGCTCCTTTCTCGGCCGTTTTCCACTCGTTTCGGCTGATTTTTGGACGAGCGATCATCTCTCGGAGCGGTCTCGAAGCGTGGGCGTTTTTTTCCGGAACTTGCGCGCGCGGAACACTCAAGTTGAAGCGTTGAATCACCCTTTTGCTGCCCAGGCCGCTCGCGGACACGCTGCGCGTCATGTGCCGCGACACCGCGGGCGCGGCGCCGCGGTGCGCGCCCCTCTTCGTCGACCACTTCCCGAGCGTCATCAAGCGGCCCATCGCCCTCGCCATCAACCCGGACACGGAGCCGCGCCTCGGCTGCGCCGGCCGGCGCCTCGGCGACGCCGCCGCGCCGCGGCGCCGGCTCCCGGCGTCGCGGGGGCCGAAGTGGGTCATGCCCGAGAGCCGCTTCTGCGACGCCCACCGCCACGACGTCTACTACGTGTCGCCCAACGCGACGCTCCGCCACCGCGGCGACCAAGGCCGCGCGGCGCCGCGCGCGACCTGCCCGCCGGATTGCGCGCCGGAGCCGCCCGCGGACGAGGCCCACCTCCTTCAGGCGGCGCGGCAGAGCGCCGACCGCCGCGCGGGCCTCCTCGCCGCCCTCTCGACGCCCGAGACCCGCGCCGCGTCGAAGGTAGCGCGCTAGGAAAGGTTCGCTGGGAGCTCGGAGGCCAAAGCTGCCCATCGTCGTCGGCTTCGTGCTGCGGGCTTGCACCGGTCGTCGCGGCGGGCAGCCTCGTAATGATGCGTCGCGCCCCCGTGCGGTGGCTGGCGCTGTGGCTGGCGTGCACGGCGGCCCGCGAGGTGAACCGGAGCGCGCCCCTGCCGACGCAGCTCAAGGCGTTCCGGGCCAAGAGCTGCCCCGAGATCGACTGCGACCACCTGGGCCCGCCGGCGAAATACACGGGCAAGTACGCCGTCTTCATGTCGGGCCGCCTGCGCGTCGCCCACGCCATGCTCACGGCGGCCATGAAGCAGATCGAGGACAAGTACAGCGGCTCGATCACCGTCGACTGGTACCTCCACGTCTGGTACAACGAGACCGCGCTCTGCGAGCGCCGCGCGCTCGAGGAGCTGCGGACCATCGCGACGGCGATCACGACGGAGCCCGTGGAGTGCATGTGGAGCTGGGGCAACGGCTGGCAGAACCAGTGGCACGGCGTCGACTTCGCCTGGCGCACGCTCGAGCGCTTCGGGGACCCGGACCAGTACACGCTGATATTGAAGTCGCGCGTGGACGTGTCCTACGACGACCTCGACTTCGAGGCCGTCTGGAAGCGCTACGGCGCGGCGCCGGCGACGAAGGCCGCCGGCGGCCACTTCATCGTCTTCGGGCGGTCCCAGGGCTGGGACGTGCACATGATCGGCACGCCGCCGCTCGTGAGGGCGATGGCGCGGTACGACATGAAGCCGGACCCGTTCCCGACCTACGGCTGCGACTCGACCATCGACTCCTTCCCCTTCCAGCGCATGTTCCGCTACGGCTGCTGGCCGCCGACGGCGGACCCGGCGCAGAAGCCGCTCTACCGGAAGTTCTACGAGACCGCGACGAAGCGCGAGTCCCGGGGCCTCGAGCCCCGCTGCGCGCCCCTGTTCGTGGACGTCTTCCCCTCGTCCATCAAGCGGCCCTACCCCTTCCTCCTGAACCCGAACACGGACCCGCGCCTCGGCTGCAACGGCCGCCGCCTCGCCGTCGCCGACGTCGACAACGCGACGCGGCGCCTCGCGGCGCGCGTGCCCGACGGGTGGGTCATGCCCGACGACGCCTTCTGCGACGACCACCGCCACGACGTCTACTACGTGTCGCCGGGCGCGCACCACCACAGCGCGCACGGCGCGCAGCCCGCGGCGCGGTGCCCGCCCGCGTGCGCCGTCGACGGCCCGGCGACCTACGAGGAGCAGGTCACGGCCGCCGCCGCGGAGCTCCGGGGCGCGCCGGCGTAAGCTCGCCATAAATTAGACGGGGTAGAACTGGCTGTGCGTGTCCGAGTAGTTCGGGTTCGGGCAGACGTGGTGGACGCGGTCGATCTTCCGGCAGAGCTCGGGCGTGATCTTCGCCACGTGGTCCAGCGCCTCGAGCTGGGCCTCGAGCTGGGGCGGGTCGCGCGCGCCGAGGATCGCCGTCGCGAGGAAGGGCCGCGAGTACGCGTACGCGAGCGACAGCTGGAGCACGGTCATGCCGTGGGCCTTGGCCAGTTCCTCGTAGTCCTCGGCGGCCTTGAGCGTCGCCGCGGACGTGTAGCGGCTCTGGAAGCCCGGCATGTTCTTGTGGCGCGCCTCGCCCGGAGGCTTTCGGCCGAAGCTGTACTTGCCCGCGAGCGTGCCGCCGCAGAGGACGCCGTAGGCGACGAGGCCCACGTCGCCGTGGAGCGGGCTGCAGGCCTCGGCGAGCTCCGTCTCGAAGCGCCGGTCGCACAAGCTGTAGTCGTTCTGGATGGACGCGGGCGGCGGCAGGCCCTTGAGCTTGGCCATCGCGCAGAACGTCGCCACCCCATACGTCGTCTCGTTGGACACGCCCCAGGCCCGGATCTTGCCCGCGGCCATGAGCTCGGCCATGGCGTCGAGCTGCTCCTCGAAGCTCACGAAGGCGTGCTCCAGCGCGCGGTTGTAGCGCGCGCCCGTCTCGCCGAACTTCGGCACGTAGCGGCTCGGCCAGTGCGTCTCGAGGAGGTCGATGGTTTCGACGCCGAGGCGCTTGAGGGACGCGTCGCAGGCGTCGATAATTTGTACTTTCGAAAGCTTCGCCTTCTTCGGGACGGGCTCGCCGGGCGCGAAGGGCCGCCCGAGGACGTCGTAGCGGCACGCCAAACTCGAGTTGCCGCCGTCGCCCGCGACCTTGGTGGAGATGACGACGGAGTCGCGGTCGATGGCGCGCACGCGGAGCCACTCGCCGAAGACGAACTCGGAGTAGCCGCCGCCCGTGATCGACGGGTACCTGTGTGGAAATCAACCAGTGAGCTGGGACGTCGGGGCCAAACTTGAGAATTCTCTAGCTCGGTCAAATCGAAGTCGATTCGGCTGATTTTTGGACGAATCGATTGCTCTCGTCGAGTTCTCGAAGCACGGCGGATGTGCTCGTGTCAAAACATTCGCATACGCGCACATTGAAGTCGGGTTGAAGATTTGATTTGCACACAGGCGGGTACTGCTCCGCCATGTCGAAGAACGTGACGCCGCGCGCGTAGGCGAGGTC